TTATCGTCTATACCGAAAGTAGTACCTGGCCATCAGGTTGAATACCTGCCCTTAGCTTTTACGCTTAGTTTTACTGGAACTACTGATGCTCCTGCCTGTGTTGGTAACGAGTCCAACGACTTACCAAACTATGCTAACAGCACATTCCTTTGTACACAGATTAGTCCATGACATTATGAGTTAGTAAACAAATTATGATGCCTTCAAGGAAAAGATCCATTTCAAATATGATTACTGATGTTGGCTTAACCTTTGTAACGCCAAGCGTTATATTTAAAGAATAGCAGCGAAGATAATTTTCGTTGCAGCTAAATTTTAATGTCACTTAACACCAGAATATGCATTTTTTTTATTGGGGTTTTTTGTTAAATAAAAAGGTGCTTCAAAGTGGACATTTACTATTCACTTTTTCCAATCCCGAATATTGCATTATGACTTGGAATAAGGTTAACTTTAAAATCGAATCCTTTCTGAAGGAATCACTTGTGGTTACTTACCATTTGTCTAAATCAACACGACCTCCAATTTGCTATTTTAACGACTGAAGGTGTGTTATCGACTTTTGTGTTACTCTAATGAGAATGGAATTCATGGGAAATCGATGAATTGAGTAGCTCATAGCCACTTGCCATTGGTTGGTGGTCTTTCAATCAAATTTCACTGGTGCTAGTCAATTTGATTTGTAAATAAGTAGGTAAATAAGTAATACTTCACCACCATCACGGAGCTTTTGGTTTAGCAAATCAGTCTAGGACAGAGGCAGGTCACCATAACCGCAGCTTGTTAACAAATTTGTCCAAAAACGTGATTAATAGCTATACAATAAGTGCAAAACTGGTATGTGGATATACATAGACTAGAAGTTGATTGCATCCAGGCGATAGTCTTTAATCGTAGTTGCTTTTCCTGTAAAAAGTCTTGATACTCGAATATAATTTTACAGTTAAATAGGTATAAAGCCTTAAATTTAACCACCACAAGTAATATTCGGTGCGATGAAATTTGCCCACTAATTTAGAGTCAGTGAATGTAAAATCGGCTAGGGAATCAAAGGAAGCTACTGGTCTATTAAAATGACAAGTATGTCGTTTAATAACAGTGGTAAATATTGTTTATCTTCTAATATCTCCAACTGCTTATCAATGTTTCTGCCCACCAACTGCCCATATCCTTTTTTTTACCTCATAAATCTTCTTCTAGCTATTCAAAAACCCTAATCCAGACACTTCCTGTAGAAAGAGGGAGCGCTATGACATTGTCGTGAGATCCATAAATGCATGATTACAATGAGCTGATGTTTTGCCATTGGAATTAGGTTCTAATCCGTTGTTTGCTTAACTCTCGGTTTTGTTAACGGTTCACTTAGGAGCTCTGTTTTTGTTCCTTGCTGGGCGGCCTGGTCTGCAGACGAATGCACTAGCCCCAAGCCCATCTGCAAGTTGAAAATACACACTCTGTCCAAGTATTGTGGCTTCTTTTGTCGTTAGGATGGTCTTGGGCTGCTGTAATGATGACATCGAAAAATGAACCCGTTATTAAAGGTTAAAAACCGCGAATTCTACTGCAAGACAAAAGTGCAAATGCTGTGGATAAAGGGAATCCGCGACAAAACTCTAGCAAGAGGCATGGAAGTTTCGTCTACCCTGGGCAACTAATTCCTGTCCCGTAGTCTGCAAAAAAGCTAGTAATAACTAAAGTAGCACTAACTGTGACCTTGGACAACCTGAAAATGTCCCTTACGGAGCTGTCTACATTGTCTGTAAGAAAATAGTTATTATGTAAACACGTGAATACTCCTCCAAATCTCTACTAGCTGGACGAAACCTAGACAAATATAGCTGGGCAGCATTATATTGAGAATAAAGTGGGAAGGAGGAATTGACAATTTTAAGCCCCGTCCTTTGTTATACGATTCTGCTTTTAGGCCAGTATTTCTTCGACAAGTGATGGACATGCGCGATGACCAGCTCAGCTCCCCCTTCTTTCAATCCAGTTCTCAAGCAGGAAAAAACTCCAGATCCGGTAGAATCACCAAGAAGGATCAGTGGTGTTGCGGTCAACTGTCTTCTCAGATGTATGGAAATTCGGCGACCGGCTTGGTTGGCCCGTGAATGTCTTACAGCACCGATTACGCTGCGATGGCTGAAGCGGAAGGTTGACCATGGGAAGCACCGGAGGCGACGCTGAATAGGACAGAGGGTCTATGCAATAAACTGCTTGTTTAAATCTTTGTTTTGGTTTTGTAGCCATCTGGGGGCTCTGCAACTTCTGCCTGGCTATGTTAGTAGCATCTCAGCCCTCTTGCCCGTAGGCAATATATATTCTGCCTGCGACTTGTCTTCTTTCATCTTTAGGCTAGTGTCAGGTCCCTGTAAAAAGGTCATACGATAAGTCTGATTTTCAGCCGATTGTTTGACCTCAAATGATCCTTTATTTGCAGAATTTTACACATAATAAGAACTTGGTTTTTATAGGGTAGTTTGATCGGTAGTTCGTTGTAATAATTGCATTCATTCATTCATTCATCTCAGTTCTTACAAGAAAACAGTTATGCAAACAAAACTTATATTGACACACAGCCAAAGCGACAAAATCAGTTAAATTAATCACCATGCCAAGCGCAGCATAGGGCAGCAAGATTCCGTAGAACTGATAAGGGTCACGTTGCAGCCCATCCACTGCCCCCAGAGGTCGATAATGCCTCAATCACGTGCAGTCGTTGAACCTCTGCGTGCAAGTAAGATGAATTTTTATCTTCATTTACTTGTTAACTCTGTCATCATTTGGTTTACCATCTGTCTACCGAATGAAATGGTTAGATTTCACGACAGACTTTTTGAGTGAGAGGAGGGACAGGATGGACAGTACCAATCAAATAGACTAATGCGGGAATGGTAACCGATAGTAAACACGGATTCAATTGCATTTCAGTATGACTGGGCATTTGAACTGAAGTTTGGCCAACAATTCTAGGTCTGTCCGGTCCAGAACTAGAGTAAACAAGACCGAGCATATTTGGCTTCGAAATCAAAAGTGTCTGGATGTAGTCACTTTAATTTAAGGCAAGATCAAAGGCTACTTTGATGCATTGAGTGTGTGATTGCAAATATTCCATAAACGGTATTTTGCAGGGGATGAAAGTACCTCCCAAAAGCGTGATTACAGCGTAATATGCCACTAGATTCGAACAACAATGCCACAATTGAGATAAACTCTCCTCAACCCCAGCGTCGATCGTTGATTCTCATCCCCCTCGGGCCTGCAGAGGAGCCGCCAGTGTTCAACCTAGCTCTCAATCTCAATGGCGCCCGGAAATCTTTTCTCACAGGGATCGACGATTGGGCCATGAAAAGGCCAACCAACTGCAAACTCATTCACCGCTTGGTCGATTGTTGCAAAGCAAACTTGGAAATGGTTCCCATAACCTGCGATACCTTCTCCAAGTCCTCCCTAATGGACCAGGCAAAGTGGTTCGAGGAAATTTTCTCCATGCTCTTACCCATTGAAGGCAACGACTCTGCCATTTTACATCTCGCCTGTGTTCGACAACAAGTGCGGTCGAACGGAAGACATGTTCGATTGGTCATTCTACTCACATACCTTGATGAGATGCTCTCCAGTATGCTCTACTCCCATGATATTACAAAGGAGGTCTTGACACCGTGCTGCAAGGCCTATGCCACGTTGCTTTGCTTTGCCGCCGCACTATCACCTCTCAGAAAACTAGCCATAGAGCTCATTCAATCCACTAAACAGTCATTATCTGTGCCCTCCCAAGTTCAGCTGCCCCAGAATCAGCAGGTGGGTTTCGGAGCCTCTGTAGCTGTGAGGCCGGCTAAGATGAGTGAATCAATGAGAGATTTAAGAGTCTATCAGGAGACGTTCTGTCGCTGGAGCATAGACACAGTGCAGTTTGAGCACACTGCCATCTTCTACACAAGCGGGGAGAAGCCTGCAGCACTTGAAAGACACGCTTTGCGAGTGCGCGCCAGCAGAAATAGCGATCTTATTTACCAATCCTTTGAATTCACGATGCATCAGCAGCCTAAGCCTCAATCTCAGCAAAATCAACTACAGGTGCCGGCATCATCATCACTACTGACGCCAACTAAACCGGCTCATACGTTGAGGGTGAACTCGGTATCAGATATCACTTTCGAGGATGATGTAGAAAACAGTGGCTCAGATAAGATGATCACCGAATCAGGAAGTGAGGAGACCCTGGATCAGCAAGAGGTGCAGCAAATAGAGGCGGAAGAAGAGGGGCGGGAGCAGGAGAATAGTGAGGAAAGTACCATTTGGGACACGGCATATAATGACAAGGAGGTAGTGGCTGGGAGAACGAGCGATGCAAATGCGAGATTTATCAATGAAAAAGATGGATTTGTACTGATTTCAGCTTTCCTTTCCGGTATTAAACAAGACGCTTATGTGTTGAGAACAGGGTCACTCTCTCGTCTACAAAGTGACATCCCCACAAGGATAAGCGTCATTAATAGAAGTCAGAGATGCGCCTCTTCATCTGCGGAAAATACCGGGAAGGAGATGGGAGATGAAGAGGAGGAAGAAAGAGAAGGAGAGATGATATTAACAGGAGAGGAACCAATCAAGAAGACCTCTGAATTATTAGACACCGAGACCAGTTATGCAGACTCAGTGAGTCAGACCGTTCCTGAGATGCGCTGCAGCACAACCCCTAAGAGACCCTATACATTGTCGGTAGCTCTCAGAGCATCCGAAGATGAGGGGGAGGAGGAAGAGAGCGTGGATGATGAGAAGAATGAGGCGCGGAGAGGGAGGTCAGATAATTCTCGAACCGCTTCCTTCGAACTCACGACTGTAGGTGCATTTAAGTTAAATGACGGTTCGCCCATTCAAATCATGCTGGCCGGAGGGAGTGTGATGAAACACAAGCAAATTCTGATAGAGATGCAAAGATATCTGTTGCGTGAAAAGGCAAACACTTTCTCTGCTAGTGACAAGCTCAGAAAATACCTGGAAAGTGAAGGAACCTCCAGATTTACCATCCTAACTCTTTCTGACATCGAGGACGAAGAAAGAGGAGGAATCGGAGGGGTAGGAAGAAGAGGTAGTTCACAGACACGGGGAGCGAAAGCGATGTCGCTAATAGAGGGAGAGGCCGACACGGAGGCACCCAGGGTGAAGGACTCGAGAAGAACCTCCACTTTTAAGGTCAGAGAAGGTGCTCCACTCAAGCTCAGGCAGCTACGCCAGAGTCAATGGAAACGGTGGAGGGCAATGTGGGAAAAGTATAGACGCTATGTTCGGGAGGAGGCAGGATCTTTCCTTGAAGGATGGTAAGTCAGTGCTTCGTAACACTAAGTTAATTGCAAATTAATATGATTAGGGCTACAATACCTCCGCTTTGTTTATACAGTCGATGCCGACCCATTGTGTTTGTGGATGACGAAACAGACTGCGGTGCCGTCGCACATCTGATTGGCAGAACAACGGAGACCACGGTGGGGCACTTCTCCCTGTGCCAGGATGCGCCGACGCAGGTGACGACAATGTGCCACAGCTGCTTTAAGCGTAGACAGAACGTATGGAGTAAGCAACAACGTCTACTTCATGAGGAGGCGGAGACCTTCTTGGCCCAGAAGTTGGTCCTTCGAGAAGGCAAACAGTCAGCGAGCCTACTCAGCCTCCCTCATCCCCTCCCTTCTCTCACCGCCGACTCCACCGAGGCGATCGATATCGGACCGGCGCGCATCCTTGTCACTTCCAACCGACGCGAGGATGGTGGGGTAGTCGCTCACATCATTACCGAGTTTCCCCTAGATCCGGTCCCTCCTGATAACCCCCAAAACCTCCACCTCGTCTTCGACGTCGCTATGCCTGAGGAATCTGTTTAAGTGTGTTTCACTTGATTTGAGATGGGTGAATGATTTGATTATTTGGCTACTTTTTGAATATCATTGTCCCCCTATCCACTGTTGTGTCTTCGGCACTCTTTGGTTTCTATTATTACTAAATGATTTGTGCAATTAAAAGTATCCGTTCTTAAAGCTAGATGTCTTTTTTCCTACTCCCCCTCCATTGTGGCTCAGAGCAGGAATAGGCTGACGTGCTAACGTCCCACTACAACTAATATCGAAGATAGATAGAATTGATGTCGGGATGCACGGCAACATCTTCTCAGCCTTAATTTGACAGACTGCTTTCAGAATTTTAAATGAATTCGTTCAAAAGTCAACTTATGTTGTTGTCACTTTCAATTTATTGACTTGTGGTTGGGAATCAATACCTATCCTAACTGCAAATATATGGTAGGCTCAAGGTGATAGGCTATGGTCTGGTTTTGGCAGGTCAATTAACCGCACATGCGATCGCAAGTACTGCATAGGCGTGACCTAAGATACATACACAGCACGTTACGCCCTGTGAACAGACAGGAACGCACCAAAATAGTCACACTATTAGAGTCGCGGCAGGCAGGGACTTAAACGTCAGAATTTATTCACGTGCAATACCAGTTACCATTACCACAGACTGCCTCCAGAGGCACGTAGCATAATCGATGCTGTGACAGTACACTGGTGGTCCGGCAACCAATGAGAGAGCTGTGACCTTGAGAGTTGCACACTAGCCTTGGCATTCAGGTGGAAGATGTTGGACGTGTGGAGCTTTTTCGCCTGTACCATGTTTTAAAATGGAAAAGAGATATGACGCATTTTAAAGCAAAGTGGGATGGGTATCATCACCTTAAAACAAATAAAACTACCGAGAACAGACTCAGCTTGGAAGTTGGGGCGTATTATTAGCTGAAATGGAAGAGGTATCAATTTAAACAACTAGGGTGCTTTAATAGGGGTTTTTATGATTTTGCTGTTTCCACCCTCGAGTGTCACAATTCATCGAGGACAGAAATACTCTATTTTTAAAATACACAAGGCAGTGTCTCTGAGCCTGGTTTCAGAAGGTAACCCTTCCATTATGCATACAAGGAAATAAAGGTAGGAATTCCTTGCGAAAGCACTAATAAGTATGGCAAATGAACATGGGTTTTGGCTATATTTACAACACATTTCGCATGGGAACATGGTGGAAGTAAGGTGGTGAACTCCTAGGGTTGGAGCGATACTGGGATTTTTCCTCAATTTTCTTCACATTGCATTGTGTTCAGACATGGAGGAAACCACTTGGACAAACAGAGGGTTCCTTGTACCATATGCACGCGAATTTTCAGAAATGTCCATAGATTTTTGAATAAATCGAAGAAACATTTTGAAGGAAGCTAGTCACTTTAATCTTTTGACAAAATCTAGCTTCTGCAAAGTAGTTAACCTAAGTACCTCTGAACTTCCGCAAAACTGGAAATACTCGCCTTAAGACCTCTGAAAAGAAGCATAGAGAGATGTTGCAACCACACTGGGAGCCACCACTCATAGAACAATTTCATCCACAAGCCACTAGCTTGATAAACATCCGCCTAAAGCAATAAATCTACCCGATTATAAAAGATAATAAAAGAAGTAGTAAAGTCTGATGAAATTTGTCGAATCAAGATAGCATGGAGGCTGCTTGATGGCATGGGGAAGCCATGGTGTGCAGAAAGGCAAGAGCGTGCGCGTCCCGTGGTCGATGGGTTTGCGCGCATTCTCCAGTCACATCATCCCCCAGTGGACCAATAGCCTTGCTTCCAGCTTATCGATTTCAGCACACGCATGCACCACCACTGCCCGTGTGGGTGCAGGGCGGGCATGGTGGAAGGCTGGGCCGAGACGTGGCAGATTGTACTTCACTTCCTTCCAGTTCTCTGGCCAGTTTCATTTCTACCCGTCCTTTCACTTGACTTTTACGTACACGGGTCTACCAATGGAGGCGATAAAGAAAAAGATGCTGGCTATGAAGTTGGACAAGGAGAATGCCATTGACCTGTGAGTTCTACTTCCCAGTCTTTCTTGTCTCTGTTTCTACTTGTCCCAATTTCGATGACTTAGAGCATTACTTAGAACGAATCGCCCATAATATTGTTCAAATTAATTATCGTTATTTCGCGTTTCATCAGTACCATTCTCGATTCAGACGGCTTTCTCGATCAAATCCCATTTCAAGTAAGGCATGCAAAACCGACAAGTGCCGATGTAAAAGTAGTCTCGAATATTCTCTTCACTGTTATTGAACCTTCCGAAGTTGAGTTTCTAATTTTCTGAAGGTTCAGCATATGCTGTTCCAGTGTATCTTCAGTAATACCGACTGATTGTAATAATGGAAATCGCAGTTCGACTTAAGGTGTAGACAGTGAAACCAAATATAAAATTTGAATAAAATGTACCTAATTTAGCAACACACACAAAACTCCTCATAAAACAGCCCAATACCCATCAGGGTTTGAGCAAGTGTTTGTTTGTCACCACTTTGTTCAAAGATTTTTCAACAATCACTTTCATCTTTCTTACATTCAAATCAGTTTAGGCTTTGTAAATGCTACAATTATTTCAAAACCTCCAAACGGTGTATGCTCCATTTGCATGGGGTTGAAAGTTATTAGGACAGGCAAGAATACGGTTGAATGGATCAAAGCAGCAGTGAAAGTAAGCGCTGCTTCTGTCTAGGGCGGATCAGTTGGAGGAGCAGTTGAAGGAGAAGGAGATGGAGATGTCGAAGAAGGAGGAGGAGATGGGTGATGTAGTGAAGCGTTACCAGGGTCTGGAGGCTGAGAAGGAAGCAGCTGAGACCCAACTGGCCGAGACTAATCAGAAGCTTGAGGATACTGAGAAGCGCGCTCAAGAGGTGAGTACTATAGCTTTCATTACCATGCTTTTCATTAAAGCAATAAATTCTTGGATCAGATTGGCCGTGAGGGTGGGGGCTAAGCGGGTAGGTGGTGAGACGAAAGACAGGAAGGCGGGGTAGGGGGCAGTAAGCGTGCGTGGCTGTCAACTGACAACCTGTTCCCATCCCTCCCCTTCCTTCATCCGTCTGATTGGCTGAATGGCTGACTGACTGAAGCGTCGTCGTTACTCCTCGAATTCCCTCTCCGGGCGGCGAAGACGTGGCGGTCAAAGACGCAGTATTCCATCTCCTCATCGGTATCATCGACACCCCAATCAGCATCAGCATCTGCAAGGCAGCAGGATACATCAGGCCACTAGCAATAATTCCACCCTGAGAATGACGTTGTCCTACACAGATTTTCCTGCTTCTTCCACAACAACATTCCAAGCTGCGCAACAACGAAAGCCCCGTAGGGGTCGTCACCGCTATGGCTCCAAACAGCATATCTTTGAGTGCGAGTGCGTTTGCCAGCAGTGTGGTCAATCTGCTGTCATGATCAACAGCATGTACGACTTCCGACCCATCGGAGTTCGACCCGATCCTGAGGGATGTGCGGCAAGCAGCACCGATTGTGAAGAGACTGCTGCACCAGCTCCCAAAAGCTACGTGCCCTACTTCACTGATGAACCCCTCTTCTCGGACTATGGGGATAAGAGCGACGATGAGGATGACTATGTTAGGGCGAGAAAAAAACGATTGATTGGCGACCAAAAAACAGCCTTTGCAGAGGCCTATTCGGCCTCAAAGTTGAACTCTGGAACCCTTATTCAGTTAGCAATTGTTGAGGCTGAACTGAAAAATCTTGTACATTCGTCATTAAGGAAGGTAACTAAGCAGTTTTGTGGTTTGATTGGTAGACAAAGACCGGACCGAAATTTTCTGGGATAAATGAGCCTACCACCACTGTCATCCTGCAGGGTTAATCAACATGCTGACTGCAATTGTGCATCAGAGGTTGTGACCTTTGACTCCTATTTCGCCGTACGTGTGATTAAGTAAAATTTCAAACAGCAATAATCAAAATAGCACACCAATTACCTGGTTGTGACGTCGATCAGAATTATTAAGCAAATACGGGCACATGGAAGTAAAACAAGTTTTGTTTATATGGGTGGCGCGGATATTAAGGCGTGCCTTGTGTTCGTGTTACTGATCCTCGTGTAATGAGCGGGTCTTCAGCAGATTCACTTCTAGAAGCGGTAAAAAAGAAGATCCTTGCGTCCAAAGTCAATGTTAAAACATTAACTTTGGAACTTGAAAGCAAGCATGCTCTTCTTAAGACCGAACATGAGAAACGGGAAAAGGTATCATAAGATTTTGATTGCAGTTTGCACAAAACTGGGAAATACAGTGGGAACTCTTCTGGTTTTAGGCTGAGGCTGAGGTCGCTGCTCTTCAACGTCGCATTCGCCTCCTGGAAGATGATCTTGAGAGCACGGATACTCGTCTCACGGATGCCACCGCCAAGCTGGAGGAAGCCAGCAAGGCAGCTGACGAGAGCGAGCGGTTAGTCTATTTATTTGTCAGTCATCCTCGTCTTTCTGCATGCCCTCTTTTGCATGTTGGCCGCATTTTGCCTCCTTGCAGCTTTCGTCGAGCCTTGCAGTCACGTCAGGTAACTGATGACACTCGTATTGAGGAACTGCAACAGAGGATTCAAAAGACTGCCAAGGAGGCAGCTGAAGCTGAGCGCAAATATCAGGAGGTACTTAATCTGGTCTAACTCCTTTTATTTCTTTTCCCTTTTAACTGTACTCAGAGGCTGTAAAGTTCTCGAAAACCGCACAGTTGCCGATGAGGAACGGATTTCTTCTCTCGAAGAGCAACTGAAAGAGTTCACCTTCATGGCGGAGGATGCCGATAGGAAATACGATGAGGTGCCTAGCATGATGAGAGAAAAGTAGTAGCATGTGACGCATGCAACCGTTCCATTGGCATGGTAATCACGTCGAAAATATAGATAATTCATTGTGTAAACGATCTTGATCACCTTTAGTCCTCGCGCAAACTCGCTATGTCAGAAGTGGACTTGGAGCGCGCAGAGTCCCGTCTTGAGGCGGCTGAAAGGTTATTATGTAGATCACGCGTCTTTGCTCTCTATTTCTATCATTGGGTTTGCGCCTGTTGCCTGCACATGCATGCACTCATCCCTTCCTTCCTATCCCCCCTCTCCGCTCCCATCCAGGCAACTCAGGAACTTGCAACAGCAGAGGATGCTTTAGCTGCTGCGGAGAAGCGAGTCGAAGATGCTGAGGAGTAGGTTAATTCTTCGTGAAATTCGCCATTGATGTCTCCTTTCTGCTATGTATCTACTACATGCTTTTCACAGGCGCATCCACTCAATGGAGCATGAGCTGCGTGCTATCACGACAAACCTAAAAACCATGGAACTCAGTGAATCTACGGTGGGTAGTTCTTAAATACTGCTTGATTTGCTTCATGTTGCTTACATTGAGCTCATAACGTTTCTCTTTCAGCCCCTTGAAAGTCCCCGTAGCATGATATTTTTCTTTCGGCATGTCACAAGAGTTATTTCGGCATTAGGTAGTACTGTAGTGTGGTAGTTTATTTGCAAACAAGCATGTTTTGGGAGTTTAGTCTCAGCATGTTTGCAGTGGAAGTGAGCCTATCATTAATCTGTAACATGTAGGAAAATCCTCGATCTGGAAGATGAGCTCCGCATCGTCGGCAACAACATGAAATCCCTTGAGATCTCCGAGCAGGAGGTAATGCTAGCATACCACTCACTGGGTTGGCCGTCTTATGTCTTTTGTAACGAATGACTCAGAAAGCTCATGTCTGTGACGTGCTTAGGCGGCACAACGAGAAGAGGCCTATGAAGAGAACATTCGTGACCTCACAGAGCGTCTTAAGGCCGTAAGATTCGCTCTCTAGCCCACCTAACGCATGTCTCTCTTTTTATGATTCCCGTCTCTTCCTCTCATTCCACATTGCATGATATCGCCCGCTGCATGTGCTATGCTTCCGCGCACTAAGGCCTCAAAGCAGAAACAGACCTACCAGGCTACCCTGGAGAAGTTGACCAAACAGTTAGCAGAGGTAGGCGTTGCTGTTGTTGTTGGCATTGTTGGACTTTACCCATTTGAGTATCCGCATGTGTGTATGAGTATGGTGTGTGCGGGAATAGAGTCAGAGAGTTCCACTAAAGCTTGCTCCGGAGGCTGGCTAACCGGCAAGGCATGAGCATGAGCACAAATTCCGACTTCGAACGGGACGGTGGCAGCCTTCGCTTTAAATGGATCACCACCCCCCCTATAGGCTGAAGACCGGGCCCAAGATGCCGAGCGCCTTGTCCACACTCTGCAGGGCGAAACCGATCGTTTGGAGGGTAAGCGGAGGGTTACCCAGCAAGCTGTCTACGAAACCATTTAGATTGGGTGGAATGACAGCACGAGTGTGGTGTGACCTATGCTCTGGATGCATGCTTGCCTGCATGTCTATTGCCCTGTTTCCTTTCTCCCACCCCCCATAGGCTGAGAAGCGCACCGCCCTTGCCGAATCTGAAGCGTTAAAAAGGCAGGAGGAGCTCGCCCGTCTTGAAGGTGAGTGGTGCATTACTCTCCTGCGTATCCATCTGTTTGCACCTTTTTCACTCAGGGTTAAATTGAGGTGGCTCGGTGATCAATTCCGTATGTTTGTCTGTCCTGCAGCGGCGATGTTACTTCAACGTTAGGTTGTTACTTTTTGAGGTGTGATTAGTCGAGAGTTCGCTGTGTGAACCTGGCTTTGGGTCACATTGGACTTTCACAACTACTGGCATTAAAAAAACAGATTCAATAAGTTTATTAGTTGTGATTGCAGTTGGAGCAATATTAGTTTGGTTGATTAATTTGCTCTCCCTTGTTCATCTACAGCTGAGCTGGATGCAGAGAAGACGTTGAATGCGAGCCTACGAGAGGACATGGAGGACATTGCGGCAGAGTTGCAGAGCATCTGAGAGTTGTCTTCCTCGGTCCCCCTTGATCCACTTTCTACCGCCTCTCTTTGCATGTCTTACTGTCGAAGTGTTTTCTCTATCGCTTGCCCTTCCTCTAAGCTGGTTTTAGCCTTTTTTTCTATCGCACATCTTTTTGTCAAGTCATCATCATGTTTGGTGCTGCACATACGTACCATATGCGCGCGCATTGTGATCCTGTTGGTTTGCCTTCCATCTCTCTCTAGGTTATGCCAATAAAGAGATTTGCTTATGTGCGAGAAAGCGACTCTCTGCATGGCCAACTTGTCTTAGCAATGACATACATCAGTAGTGGTTTCGCAGCTGCTCGAAACTGGTATCCATAGACCGGTGCCAAATGCCACCGTTGATTGAGTGCTAACAGTTTTGGGAATGATGAGATGTGTGCTAGTCGCTTTCTCAGTTTGTCGAAACAAATTGCAGGAGTGCATATTCTGGTAAGTCTACCGTTCTTTTGCCAACAGATGAGCTTGTGGCGGAAAAGGAGAAGTACAAGGCCCTCGCCGAGGAGTTGGAACAAACTTTTGCAGAACTCACTGGGAATTAGAGCGCTGCACGCTCCGCCCTTCGTCCCGCCTCTCCAGCCGTTATTCGTTCGTTCATTTATCGGATTTGTCGCCTCCAATTATCTTTATCCACCTGTCTGCGCACATTAATGTCTTTTTTCCTTTTCGACGATTTATTTCATCATCGTGTATTTGCCGATCTGGAACTGGTAACATGTTAAAGCAATTTACTCCGTAGTAAGAGTTCCTTTTTCTGGGGCTATGACGGAAGTGGTAAGTTGGGATAGCCAATGCGATTGGCTTGTGTGGCCCATGATTTGATTGGTCGATGAGCCTAGCTGAGCTTGACCGCCCTCGTCATTTACATTAACCACAACGTCGACCCCAAGCGCGGGAAAGTGATTAAGCCTAGGCGGGTTGAATGAAATCGGCTGTGCAAAGCATCAGCCATGCGCGACATCGAAGCTCCTCGTGATATGCCTCTACTTCATAGTTAGCCGTTGGGACCTTTTAGAGGAACCTCACTTATTAAAGTACTTCGTTTTCATTGACATTGGAGGTTGGTAGTAGAAAATGAGCCTCAGGATTGTAGCCGCCAAAACGCGTTCGATTAGCTAGTAAGTGTAGTTATGAACCAAGTTTGTTGATACTCAGACCATTAAAAAAAGGCGTAGGCACCACTTTAACTGCGTACTTTGAGCGCAGATGCACACAGTCCGTCATAGTCCATTTGGCATAGCAGAACCCACGAGAACCCACCGAATTCACATGCCCCCTTGCAGTAGTGAACTGTTCCTGGTGCAACCCAATGAAATTACTAGCAAGGTTAAGGTCAACACAGCAACAGTGTTAAGCCCTATTACTGCTTTTGCTTGCACTAATGAACAACTGGAATGTGTCAGGAGGGATAAATAAAGATAATTAAATATTTTGTAAAGGAGGTTTGCGGTCACGAAATAGTCTACTGAAAAGTATAAGTAGAAGAGTGGAATGGATTAATAGTAGGGTCGGGCAGAAAAGAGGAGGCCAGCAAGCTGCATCTAAACGAGATTATCATCCTCCAATTTGGATAAGAATGCCGACGCCCGGTGATCTGGCTCCATCTACAGGGAGAAAATCGATAAGTAACTAAAAATGGGAATTTAAATGGGCCGAAAATTGATGTGGTAATTTGGAACTGACCTGTGTGACAAGATCAAGAAGATCAATGAGATGTTTGATTCCAACGCAAAGATTGAATGATGGGTCGGTTTGTCTGAGTGACAAACCGGAGGAACATTAACTTCTCAAACTCAGACTGTTAGTAGAGGGAAGGATGCTCGGATTAAAAATCAACAACCGAAAAAATCCATTATTGATGACAATGCGATTCTCAAACCTACAATGATTAAGTACTCGGACCTTAAAATTACGATGCATTCAAGGAGTTCGTGAGACAATCCTGGCTTTCAAGGCACCTGACAGAATTGAATGAAATTTATTGACC